AGGGGTCACCTAATACATCCTGCATATCAGATATTTACATGACGATTCATAACACTAGGAAACTTATAGTGATGAAGTAGCAATGAAAATAATGTCACCGTTGGGGTCCCCACCACATGAGGAACTGCATGAAAGGGTCATGGCATTAGGAAGGTTGAGAACCCCTGGTCTAATAGAACCACACATTGCCGGGTCCTGGGAAGCTTCAAGGTTGTTGACCAGACGATGTTCTGTTGCTATCCCTAAGGTTTTCATGGCTGATGTTCAGAAACCTGGCCTTTCTTCTTAGTCTGGATGCTCCACTGAAACCTGTTCACCACGGCGGAGCCTGCTGGCATCTGAAACCCTGGGGGAATAGCTACCCGCATCACAGCAACACGCATGCCACCGCAGCACGGCAGAGGGGCAGAGGAGGCCGCCTGTTCGTGTACAGATTTGCACCCTGGGAAACCCTCTACAGGGCTGCTGTCGTCTGAGGCTGCTTGACAGCAGGGGGTTCTACTTGGATCCGTGGGCTGCATGAGCGGTGGAGGCAGACCCGGTGCAGGTGGGGAGGGGCGCATCTGGTAATAGAAAGGAGACTCGGAAGGTCAGCTGCCCAGCTGGAGCCCCTTCATCCGGCTCCGCCCCCTCATTCACTGATGGGAAACTGAGACCCAGAGGGGAAGCAGTTGCATAACTGCCATTTTTGGCAACGTTGGAGTGAGATTTAGGAGCTTCAGCAGATGGTCTGTGCTGAGCCTGACAACCGTGCTCTCTGTGAATGACACCAGGGATCACTTGTCTATGTGTGTGTGGTTGGGAGGTAGGTTGGTGGGTTCTTATCATTGTGTCCCCAAACCCAAACCCAAACTCACAACTATCAAGTTGATTCAACTCAGAGCGACCCTAGGGGACAGGGCAGAACTGCCCCTGTGGGTTTCTGAGACGTAACTCTTTACAAGAGTAGAGAGTTTGCCTTTCTTCTTGGGTGGGTGGGGCGCTGGGTAGTGGTTTCGAACTGCTGACCTTTTGGCTAGCAGCCCAAAGTATAAGAGAGGTGAAGAGGCCAGGACATAGGGGTCAGAGACGTGAGTAAGGACAGATCAGATGGTCAACTTGAAGTCAATTCACCCAAAGCCAAATCTGTGCAATCCATTTCTGAGTCAGAGTGAACGTGTTGCTGTGACAGAAACCCAAGCTATGCACAGGCAGGTCTCCCTGGAGGCCTGAACTTCGGGCATGCGAGATTCTCACTTTCCAAACCTCCGAGTGGAATAAATGAAGATGAATGTGCCGACAGATCCCCGGATACCCAATGCTTGCGACTTGCTCCGTGTTTAGAACTCTCTAGAGCCACATGAATTGGACAGCGAAGAAGAGCTGCTGCCTCTCTGTGAATAAGCAGATGGTGCAGGAAACTCAGCCATGCTTTCTCTCTCCCTTTGGCTATATACACAGGGAACAGGAAGTTAAAAAAAAAGGAAATATATGGAAAACTCACGCATGCAGACAACACGAAGACCTTCATAGAAATCAATAAGCGCTATTAAAACCATTCTGTCCGGCACAACCTATTCTGCACATTGTTGATAAGCAGCTCAAAGAAAGAAGGTAGATTCAGCAAAAGGCAGCACCCAGAATGGTCAAGTTGACAACTAGTAAGTCGGACACAAATTAGCATCAGCACATTGCTTTGCTTCCTGAAGAACTGATGGGTGGAGGGGCAGGCTCTGGGAAGCTGGGGCAGGTGGGTGGTGGTGTCACAAACCGAGACCCTCAAAGCAATGATGCGTTTCTGCAGCTAGGTCGCATACACAAACAGGACGGGCACCCTCAGGCCACGTGGGCAGGAAACACTCATTCATGCACCCGTTCTTTGTGCGACACAAAGGTCATCGAGGTCTTTGATATTTTCTTGTGTCTCTAACTCAAGAGCTCAGTGCTATCTAGTCGATTCCGACTCACAGTGGCCCTACGAGGACAGGGTAGAGCCGGCTCTGTGGGTTTCTGAGGCTGTAACATTTTTACTGGAGTAGAAAGCCTCATCTTTCTCCCTTGGTGTGGCTGGTGGTTTCGAACTGCTGACCTTGTGGTTGGCAGCCCAACAAGTAACCTATTATGCCACCAGGGCACCTTTTCTGTAATTTGCCCCCCTCCTTTTTGTGCCCCCTTTCAAACACTCCTTAAATTATCCCATTTTCAGCCCTGGTGTCATGTTATATGTTGGGCTGATAACCAGCAGGTCAGTAGTTTGAAACCACCATCCTCTGGAAGGGAGAACGTTGGGGCTTTCTACTCCAAAAAGGAGTTACAGTCTCCGAAACACACAGGGGCTGTTCTACCCCATCCTATAGGACCGTTAGCATGTCCTACAGCATCGGCTCGGCAGTGAGAATTATTCACACGCATATGTATTGCTTTCTTCTGCCCAATCCTTCCTGCAGGAAGTGAGGAGGTAAAATGGAGCCGTCATCATCCTGCACATGATTTTGTAGATTCTGAGGGGCAAGGAGTCATTTGACTTGATGCCCGTCTGACTCTGAGGGAGGGGCCAATGGCGGTTTCTCGCCTTCTATGATGGAGACCGGGGTTCGAGTCTCAGCCAATGTACCTCATGCAGTCACCACCCATCTGTCCTGGTGTCCTGCATGTTTCTGTGACCCTGAAGAGTGTTTAGCGGCATTCCCAGACCATGACAGGCTAGGAAGAAAGGCCTGGCAGTCAACTCCCAAGAACCAACAGACGTAAACCCAATGGAGCACCAGGTCTGATCCACAGCCGATTGCGGGGCTTTGGCGGGACCGGGCAGTGTTCCCTTGGGCTGTGCATGGTGGGCTCTGAACAACACCAGGAGGCATACAACCCGGGTGCTCTTCACTCAGACAGCACTGTGCCCTTGGACCTGAAACCAGCCCAGATTGCCAGCGCCAAGTCTGATGTCTGCAGTGCTGTTGTTGCTGTCTGTTTGGGTCTCACAGGAAGCCGGAAGCTGGAGTGTCGATTGATGAGGCAGGTCCAGTCCATTGTTACCCAACAACTTGAAGCCCGTCCGACAAGCATAGGTCCACGGCAGGGATAAAAATGACACCCCCGGAAATCCACGTGCATTAAGCCCCCGGGAATCTCCTCCGACCTGGGCCCTGCTACCATGCACAATGCCTCGGAAAGTGGATTCTTGCAGAAGCAGCCAGGTTAAAATCCAGCACCCTGTCATGGGATCTGCCTTATGATCCATTTACATTTGTTCTTGTTTTTAACATTTTCTGCTTTCTTTTCGACGGAGTGTTTTATCTGTTTTACTTTGTTATTCTTGTCAGGTTGGCTCGTTTTTGTTTTCAAAATCTATAGAGACAGTGACTGGATGCAGGGCTCCTTTGGGGTCAGGCAGGGGAGGTTGGGGGGAAAGTACCAGAATGAAGAAAATGTTCTGAAACAGATGGTGGGGATGACTGTACAATCCTTCCTGGTGTGAGGGACCTATTGAATTGTGTGGTAGGTGAATTATAGACCAATAAAACTGTGTATGTGGTGGTGGCAGGGGGGTGGGGTACAAAACCAAATAACAGCCCCTCACGGCCTGCCAACCCCTTTTCTGGCTCGGCATTTGGCGCGTGGGGAAGCAGAGCCATGGAAGCACAGTCCCTGCCCGCGAGGCACCCCTGAGACCAGATGCCCAAGCATGTCCATCACGTGCACTGCATCCGGGCTGAGGAAGGCCAGGGGTCTGCAGGAGTGCCAACGACAGGCTGCCTGGTTTCACAGAGCATTCCCAACTCCTGATCTTTTAAAGATGAGCAGCCGTGGCGTAAGTGGAGGTAGAGGGCGGGAGCAATGTTCTTCGAGGGAGGCCTCACTCGCTCTCTGCTCAGGGCCGACTTGGGAGGCTCTCTGTCTAGCACAACCACACCCGCCCAGCGCCAGTCCATCCAGAAGACAGTGAGGTCACTGCTGTGGCTACTGTGTCCGCCCAACATGCCGAGGGTTCTCCGGATTTCTGCTCACCCTCTACCAGGCTCAAAGGCAGCACTTCCACGGTTTTCTAAATGCAATTGGCACTCTTATCAGAGCCACTGGCCTGGGGGTTACACACACACACACACACACACACACACACACACGCAGCAGGCGGGGCTCTTGGGTGTGTGTCCCTGTGGTTTTCCCCCTTTCACCTCATTTTACCTCCCTGGCAGGCCTCTCTTCTTTTATCTTCTCCCCAAGCCCCAGCAGCTGCCTCAGGCAAGCTCTTAGCTTTGCCTTCTCATTCCACCTCTCAGAGTCTGCCTCTCCTCTGCGCCCCCTCCTTCAGAGACACCCCTCCCTGCCCAGGAGAAGATCCTGCAATCCCAATGGCAGCCTCTCCTAGGCAGGGGATAGCCCCGGGGGTCCCACGCTGCGCAGTGGGGCAGCAGGAGAATCTGTGGTGCTCCAAAGCCCCCATGCCCAGCTGCGCCCCTGCCCACTCCTGTGGCTTCGAGCAGTCCCCTAGCTGGGGGTCCTGGCTGATGGGTGAACTTGGAGCAGTCCCCTAGCTGGGGATCCTGGCTGATGGGTGAACTTGGAGCAGTCCCCTAGCTGGGGATCCTGGATGATGGGTGAACTTGGAGGTTTGGAAAGCCAGGAGCTGAGGGCCACAGAGGCTCTGGGCTTGATGAGGGTGGACAGCCTTTTTAGGGAGTCTTCCAGACATGACGAAGTCCTTGACACCCCAAATCCTGGAGCAACCCCAGGGAAGCCGGGGTCGGTTCCTCTCAGTCCCCTAGATCTGATGCATTTCAAAGGGGCTCGAACCTAAGAATGAATTCGAGGAGGACGCAGGACCCAGTCGTGTTTTGTCCTGTTGTGCACAGCATCGTTATGAATTGGAACCAATTCTACAGCAACTAACAGCAGCAGCAGCAGCAGCAGCAGCAGCAGCAGGGGTGAGGGTGGGGAACCAATCCCTGATTCAGGCCTGGGCCTGCACACAGGAGGGAGCGTCCCATAAGCCCCAATGACCAGCGATGAGAGAAGGGCCTTACCTGGCCCACTGCAGAAGGAGGCGATGATGGCCAGGATGCACACGATGCTCAGGTAAGGGATCCAGATGGCGCGGTTCTGCAGAAGAACAGCGTGGTGAGCAGGTGAGGAAGTGGCACCACCCCCACCTGCCATTGGAACCTCAGACAGGTCACTCCACACCTGAGAGCCCTGTTTCCACTCCCATGGAATGGGGAACATGATGATCCCTGAGCCATTCTATCTGCTCGCTGACCCTGGGAACCCTTCGGGGCAGTTCTACTCTGTCCTGTAGAGTCACACCTGTCCTAATAGGTGGGAGCATGCACTGCAAGGGCAGCTCAAAACATGCAGCACGGAGCCCTGCCCGCAGCAGGTGTGGCTGGGAAACCCCACATGCTGACTGAGGGCTTCCCCTGCAGCGGGCAGTAGGAGAAGTCCTATAGAGACCGGATGCTGTTTTTATTTACTGGGGAAACTCCCACATTCCCACCTCTGCCCTTCTGACAGGGCACGTGTGAAGTGGATACACTTCAGCAGGCATTCTGGGGAGGGGCTGCCCCATGGTACAAGGAGGAAAGATAAAAAAGGTGAAGGGTTTCATCTTGCTCATGGAGGAATGGTCAAGAGATCAAACGGTCAATCTGCTGCTTTAAAGCGTTGAAAGGCAAGGAGGTTACTTTGAGGACTAAGGTGCACCTGACTCCAGCCATGGTGTTTCCCATGGGCCTCATCTCTATGTGAAAATTGGACATTGAATAAGAAAGACTGACGAAGAATTGATGTGTTTGCATTCTGGTGCCGGTGAAGAATCTGGAATGTACCACAGACTTCCAGAAGAACAAACAGACCTGTCTTGGGAGAAATATAGGCAGAATGCTCCTTAGAGGCAAGGAGGGTCAGATGATGCCTCAAATACTTTGGACTTGTTGTCAGGAGAGACCAGTCCTGGGAGAAGGACATCACGCTTAGTAAAGTGGAAGGGCAGCAAAGGGGAGGAAGGCCCTTGGGGAGATGGATGGACACAGCAGCTGCAAAATGAGCTCAAATATAAGAACATTGTGAGGATGGGGCCGGACTGGGCCGTGTTTCGTTCTGTTGTGCACTGGGTTGCTTTGGGTTGCAATGGGCTGAAGAGTATCTACTACAAGCTCCTGTCTAAGGATTACATAGGTGGCTCAGTAGTAGTATCCACCTTCCGGGAGGGGAGACCTGCGTTCCAAACTGGTCGGTGTAACTCATTCACGGGCACCACTGCCTGGCCCTGCAGGCTTTGCCCGCGGCGATGCTGCTGCTGAACAGGTTCCAGCAGAGCCTCCAGACGAAGATAGACTAGGAAGAAAAGGCTGGTGGTCTCTGTCTAAAACCAGCCGGTGAAAACCCCGTGGTCTGATCCCAATGATGTGACCTGCAGCCTCTCGGGGGGCTGGCGCAGGCCTTGGCAGCAGTTTGTCCCTTTTTGCTGTGAGTCGGGGTTGACGCGATGACACTGGACAACATATAGCCACTTGTCCGGTGGGAGGGCAGGTGGCTCTCTGCTGAGCACCTGGTTAGCAGGCGAATTCCCATCTGATGAGTTGTCCCATTGGGCAGTCTGCCTCGGGGACCTCACCTTCACAAGAGGAAAACAAAGCCCCTTTCTGAAGGATTCATGCCCCCTGGACCCCGATGTACAGACTCACTCACTCACTCACTCACTCACTCACTCACTCACTCACTCACTCACTCACTCATTTGCTGCAAGGCAGGGAAGGCTCTAAATGCTGCCAATGCGTCTCACCAGACCATCCTCCTAGCACCTCTGGCTACTGGGATGATTATGCCCCATTTAGAGGCGGGGGTCTCGAGGAACTCAACAGATTGGGTGAGTTGCCAAAAATTTCACAGTGAGTACATGGTAAACCCAGGGCTTGGATCCTGCTAAGGCGGTCACAAAAGTAACCAGGCCTACTGGGGCAGAACCAAGCCCCTGCTGTCTCCTGAGACCACAGCACCCTGGGCTGGCATGTGGGAGCAGAAAAGGATGCCTTGGGGTTACCTGGAGCAAGCTCCTTGACTCCCACAGATGGGTACACTGAGGCTCTGAGGGGGACCTGCTCATTAGTGGCAGGGACAAAATCAGAATGCAGGTCTCTTGTCTCCTAGTCCAAGAACTCATTTCCCAAATCCTCTTCCCTGAAGACACCAGTGGACCTCAAGCTGCGATGTCCTTGGGGAGCCCCATCAATGAGGGGGAGCTGTAGATCGCAGGAGCTCCCTCAACCAAGGGGCCACAGCCAGGAAGCCAGCTACTGACTGACAGCAAAGTTCCGCACCTGCAACGTCAGTGTGACGGTGACGATCCCAAAGAAGAGGGCCATCAGCCCAAAGCCTCCAATGAGGAGGGGTCTCCGTCCGAGGTGCTCAATGACCAAGCCCTGGATTGGGGTGAGAGAGAGAGAGACAGAGAGAGTTATTCCACTGCTGGGAGCAAGCTGAGGGAGCATGGACCTGGGGGTCGGTCGGCAATGGGTCAAGAAGGGAGGCTCCCTGGTGCAATGGGTTCTGTGTTCAGCTGCTAACTGAAAAGCCGGCTGTTTGAAGCCGCGAGGCTGATCTGTAGGCTTGGACACCGCACAAGACAGTTCTACACTGTTGCACAGGGTCACTGCGAGTCAGAATTGAGCTGATGGCAACAGGTTTGGTTTGTTCATGCGTCAAGATCAGCTGGAGCTTTGAGTCAGCCCAGCTTCTTTCTCCACAGCTGCAGGCAGAGCAGCAATGGTATCTGCGAGAAAGCAAGCGAGGGAGAAGGAAGGAATGTTTGAGTTCCCCCAGGTATCAGCCTCGGGATCTGGAGAGGAGAGTGGGGTGAGGCTCCACTCACGTTGGACACCTCATCAGGAAAGATCCATAGCAAGGAAAGATCATCGCGGTTGGTGAAGTGGACAGTTGGCAAAGTCCAGGGAAATAAATCACCGAAGAGCTGTGTTGACACCTCTCATAGCCACAATGGTGGACTCAATTATATTAACGACCGTGAGGATGATGCAGGGCAGGACCACGTTTGCTTCTGTTATATATAAGGTCACTGTGAGTTGGTGCCAACACAACTGTGTGTCAAGATACTCACCTTTCCTCTTACTCTTCCTTGTTAGGAGAGGAGGACTTTCTATGACAGGGAGTGAGCAAGACTCTATAGCCTCCACACTGCCGCATCAGAGCCAGCTTGCCTATAGAAGGCAGGTGTTCTCCACTGTTCTAAGCCTCATGCTGTAGACTTCACCTGGCCAGACTCCTAGGGTAGGGGGAGCAGGGGGAAAGAAGGTTCTGTCACTGTGGTTGGGGGGGTTGCCACTGTGACAATCCATCTTGTCTATGGCCTTCCTCTTTTTTTGCCGCCTGTATTAGTCTGGGTACTTTGGAGAAACAAATCCACAGCAACTCATGTATAAGAGAGTTTTATGTAAAGAAAGCGTGCATCACGAAAACATCCCAACCCAATGCTGCCCAAGCCCACAAGTCCAACATTAACCCAATAACCCAACACCAGTCCACAAAGTCCTCCACCTCACAAAACAGAGGCAATGATGCCAACTGCAGGAGGAAAGCTGAGTCAGTGAATGAACAAGCATCTCAGCACTAGCAGAGGTCTCCACACGGCTGCCCCAGCACCCAGGGCTGCATCGGGATAGGTCCATGTGGCTTCTCCTTGGGGATGTCTTGTAGGAAATCAATCTTGCAAGCTGAAGCAGGGAACTGCTAAGGCAGCTGCACCCTGGTGCGACCATCATAAAGCAAGAGACCTGAGAACTAGAAAGACGAGGCTCACCACCCATTTATCGCTCTGCCTTTCAATTAGCCCCACATGTGTTTATCGGCCAGGTTGGCACAATTAACTAACTCACGGCCCCTCTATTTTACCAAGCATTGTAGCCTTCTCTAGAAACTGGTCTTTCCTGACAACATGTCCAAAGTACGTACCTCTAAGAAGCATTCTGGCTGTAATTCTTCCAACACATCCTCATTCTTTTGATAGTCTGTGGTATTTCTAATATTCTTCTCCAGCAGCATAATTCTAATCCATTGATTCTTCTTTGGTCTTGCTTATTCAATGTCCAACTTTCACATGCATATGAGGCAATGGAAAATACTGTGACTTGGGTCAGGCGCACCTTAGTCTTCAAAATAATCTCCTTGCTTTCCAAAACCTTAAGGAAGTCTAATGAAATGATTGACCCAAGGAAATGCATCCTCTGATAGCTTGACTGCTGCTGCCACGAGCACTGGTTGTGGGTCCACCCAAGACAAAAGCCTTGCTAAGTTCCGTATTTTCTCCATTTTTCATGTTACCCAAAGTCCCAGCTATGAGGATTCTGGTTTTCTTTACATGGAGTTGTCATCCATACTAAAGACTGCAATCCTTGATCTCCATCAGCAAGCACTTCAAATCCTCCTCACTTTCAGCGAGCAAGGTTGTGTCATCTGCCGCCTACCACCGGTTGTTGATAAGCCTTCCTCCAATCCTGATGCCACCCTCTTCTTCATATAATCCAGCTTCTCGGATGATGTGCTCAGTGCAGAGAGGGAACACAGCCCTGGGCACCGCTTTCCTGATTTAATCTATCAGCATTCCCTTGTTGTGTTCCCACATCTGCCTCTGGATCAGTGTCAAAGTTCTGCAGGAGCACGACGACGTGTTCTGGAATTCTCATTCTTTTCAAGGCTGTCCATAGTTTGTTACAGTCCACACAGTTTAATGCCTTAGCATAATTAACAAAACACAAGTAAGCATCTCTCTGGTGGTCTCTGCTTTTCAACCAGGTTGAAAAGCATATATTCACAATGATGTTCCTGCTGCCACATCCTCTTACGGATTTGACTTGAATTCTGGCAGCTCCCTGTTGCTGTACTGCTACAACGGATGTCGGGTGACCTTCAGCAACATTTTATTAGCATACAACATGAAGGATATTGTTTGATACTTTGCACATTCGATTGGGTCACTTTTCTTTGAAATGGGTCCTGGTTAGGAATTTTGTCAACTAGACACTCTTGGGCAAGGGTAGGGGCGGGGCCTAACCTATCAATTGGGTCATAGCCTGCTAACACCCCCTTGGTGTCATAAGCCTTTTTCTGTGACAGTGAGAGACACTAGGCACTGCCTCTTTGACTCGTTGCCTTCCTGCTTGCTGAGACTCTGCCTCTTCTAGCGCAGCTCCATGTGGACTGCCGGACCCTGAGAGCTGTTGGCACCCTGCCATGTTTCCACCAACCTTGGGTCCACAGGGCTCTGCACCCACCAGCCTGTGATCCCCCTCTGTCTCACCTTGTCTGTCTGTGTCAGCGGCCTGCAGCCGCATGAGTCTGAAGAGGCCCTGGCTTGCATCGGCTCATGGACTTGAGGTGGACCGGGCGAGGATGCCCTTTTGATATAAAATTACTTCTTGTTATCAGTCTCTTTCCTTCCTATGCATATAGGAGTGTCACTGGATTTCTGTCTCTAGACAACCCGGCCTAACACAAGTATAAATACGGATCTCTTCCAATTGATGGGCCAGGTAACAGTCTTTCAAAGGTCTCTGCTGGTCCAGGCCTGGGGTCAGAAGGTTCCACAGACACTGGGCCGGCCTTAGCCTGAGGTGGCTGTCACATTCCTGCACCTTGGTGGGCCTTCCTGATAGAGGCGACTGGCCCAGGAGGGGCCCATTCTCTGGCAAATAAGAGTCTGCAGGGCGTCCTAGTGATCTCTAGGAAGCACCTCCTCTCAGCCCTGGTTTTCTCCTCTTCAAATCCGTCCTGTGTCCTGATCTCTCTCTGATCTCAGGCCTGGTCAGGCTCACAAATCCCTCCTCTATTACCTTGACAGAGACTGTGCACCCTACACAGCTGTGACACTCCTCACATCTGGCTAGTTAGGTGGCCAGTGCACCTGGAACTACCTACAGCCATTGGGCGGCGGGTGAGCCATGCTCTGCTCCCAACTGCCTGACAAGCAAAGTACAAGGCACAGGCTCAGAACATTCACCTGACATTCCCGTGCTACCACCTGTGAGCTGAGGATAAAGACTCTTTATGTCTCTCAGAAGCACCTGTGATGGAGCCTCTTGGGTCCTGAATGTCTCTGCCGAGGAAGGACATTTCTTTTTTTTTTTTTATCGGGGGCTCTTACATTTCTTTTTTTTTTTTTTTAAACATTTTATTAGGGGCTCATACAACTGTTATCCCAATCCATACACACATCAATTGTGTAAAGCGTATTTGTACATCATTTCTCAAAACATTTTCTCTCCATTTAAACCCCCGACATTAGGTCCTCATTTTTCTCCTCCCTCCCCGCTCCCCCCTCCCACATGAGCCCTTGATAGTTTATAAATGGGTATTTTGTCATATCTTGCCCTGTCCGACTTCTCCCTTCATCCACTTTTCGGTTGTCTGTCCCCCAGGGAGGAGGTCACACACAGTTCCATGTAATCGGTTCCCTCTTCCCTACCCATTCTCCCTTTACCCTCCCTGTTTTGCCACTCACACCACTGGTCCTATAGGGCTCATCCATCCTGGATTCCCTGTATTTTCAGTTCCTATCTGTACCAGTGTACTTCCTCTGGTCTAGCCAGTCTTTCAAGATCGAATTCGAGTCATGGTAGTGGGAGCGGGGAGGAAACCTTTAGGAACTAGAGGAAGGTTGTATTTCTCATCATTGTTACATCGCATCGCACCCTGACTGGCTCATCTCCTCCCCGAGACCCCTCTGCAAGGGGATCTCCAGTGGTCTACTAATGGGCTTTGGATCTCCACTCCACACTCCCCCCATCATTCACTATGGAGGAAGGACATTTCAATGTGGGATTACAGAGACCTCAAGGAGCAAGTGGACGGGCACTTGGAAACAGTCCCCCAGACCCTATGGTTTCAGCTGCTCCCTGGGTTCCCCTGGGTCACAGGATGGAGGAAACACTGAGCTAGGATCCAGTCCGAACCCAGGAAGGGGAGTCACCAAAGGGGAGGGGCCCTAGAATGGAGAGTCACTATGACCTCAGAGGACCTCATTGTGACCTGCTCACCTAGGAGCATAGGGTATAAAAGGTGGGTGCCAGAGCCTGAGGTCTCACAGAGAAGGTGCCCACACTGCTGGCGCTCCTGCTCCTTGCCCTTCCAATCTCCTTTTTGGGGGAGGCTCACCTCGGACACACATCATATCCTGTTCCGTGCCCCTGGGAAAAGCTCTGCAGTCAACACGCATGTGTCCCTCTCTGTGGTCTGGGAGGTTCTTCGGACGTCCCCATTGAGCCTTCCTTCCTTTCCTGTCTTCTTAATGAAGCTTTGCTTTCTTCCATTGAGTCATCTGTCATTAGTGTTCAAGGTGTCGGCTTTGTTCTTGAGACGGTCACTGCATTTCGGTAGGTGAGACCTGTATGAAGTCAAATTCTGGCTGTTG